CAGTTAAAGTGGCAGCAGTCACTTGTTGTACGGAAAAGCCACATTCTTTTTTTGAGCCACAGAAGTTTTAAACATAATATCAAGAGAGACCTAGAGGCACCATCTGTCCTGTTGCCAAGCGGCAACACCACAAGCCACCACGGGGAACAAAGGCACTGGAATTTTCAACAGCTGCCTTGCGGATGTGACCAATCTTGTTGGTTTCGGTGGAATCAGCAGTCGCGGTGTCAGGGATAGTTTGAGGAAAAGCGGAGCTGGTAGAACAGCAGCAGAGCATTCACAGGTAGGTGGCTGATAGCTTGAGGGTTTATACCATAGCTGAAAATGTGAAAACTGTGAAGGAACACCACAGGGCCTACGGAAGGACGTCTCCTCTCTAGAGCCAGGGTGTTAAAGCCTGACTGGCTTCGATCTGGGTGACTCGGAAGCCAGAGAGGCTAGAGACCTCTCTGAGCAGTCTCTCATGGTAAGGACCACTTATGGGTAGTCCAAAAGAAAAGAAAAAGAAAAAGAAAGGAGACCTTGGGCCCCAAATTGCAGGAAGACCAACCCTGGGTCGTTTAATCACGTTTTTAGCTGTGGAAAACAACCAGAGATGAATGTCAGTGAAGGGCTCAACCAAAGCTGTGAAGGCTGTCGTCGGCTGACTGGAAGGGGAAAACTCACCACCAAAGCTGCTGGTGTATGTAAAGGTTGGTGGTTCAAGAAGATAGAATTCAGAGCCGTTGTAAAGAAACCTCGTTCCCGAGCCCAGGGTTCCATGCGTCCTCATCCAGCTCGTCTGTGGGCCAGAGGGACCGTGGAGAGAGCCTGACCGAGTCATGAGTACCATATGTTGTGGTAAAAATAAAATGCTGCAGGTTCCCATGTGGTGGCATCAGGCAGCGGGTCCTGAGACCACGGTGGGCCACGAAGGCAGTCAGTCCCAGACAGGGAGCCATTAGGCAGGTAAGAGACAAAGACATACATGCAGAGAAAGTGGGTATTTATTTAGTGGGTTATGGAAGGGAAAAGGAAAGGAGAGAAGGGGAGAAGGGAGAAGAGCAGCAAGAGGCAGAGAGAGAGAGAGAGAAAGAGAAAGACAGGGGAAGGGGAGATATGAGGAGAAGGGAGAAGAGCAAAGAGAGGGAGAGAGAGAGAGAGAGAGAGAGAGAGAGAGAGAGAGAGAGAGAGAAAATGAGGCAGGGGAAGGGGAGATATGGGGAGAAGGGAGAGAGGCAGAAGCTGCCCCTTTGGGAGATGGAAGGGAAGGGGCTCAGGCTGGCAGCCAAGGAAGAGCTGCTTGCCTCAGTGGGGAGCAGGCTCGTCTCCTAAAGGGAGAGGACAAACCATTACACAGAGGACCCGGATTTGGTTTCTAGCACCCATATCAGATGGCTCATGATTGCCTTTAGTTCTAATTCCTGGTGAGTCCAATACATTCTTTTGGCATCTGAGGGTACCTGCACACATGTTACATATACATACACGTACACACATATACATACAAAATTTTTAAAAAATATTTAAAGAACTTTACCTGCCACCTTCCCTCCTTTGTTTTGGAGACAAGAGTCTCACTATATACCCCTGGCTGTCCATGAACTCAGAGATCTGCATGTCTTTGCTTCTCGGGTGCCAGCATCAAAGGTGTGTACCACTATACCCACGCACTCTTTCAACTTTAACAACATAAGCACAAATCCAATATTTATCGTAGCACTTGGAAGCCAAAGCAGGTGGATCTTCGCGAGTTTCATGCCAGCCTGAGTTACATACTTAGCCAAGGCTATCCAGGGCTATATAGAGACCCTGTCACAAAAAACAACAAAAAGTAAATTTCCTATTGGGTTTTACAGTTTTATTTAAACTTTATGTGGATGGTTGTTTCACTTGTACCACATACATTCCTGGTGCCTGAGGAGGCCAGTCCCTTTGGAACCGGAGTTACAGATGGTTGTGAGCTGCCATGTGGGTAGGGAATGGAACCTGGGTTCTCTGAAAAAGCTGTCAGTACTCTTAACTGCTGCTGAGACATCTCTCCATACCCTATACTAGGATCTCTCTCTCTCTCTCTCTTTCTCTCTCTCTCTCTCTCTCTCTCTCTCTGTGTGTGTGTGTGTGTGTGTGAGAGAGAGAGAGAGAGAGAGAGAGAGAGAGAGAGAGAGAGACTCACTATGTAGCCCTGGTTGTCCCAGAAGACATTCTAGACCAGGGTGGCCTTGAACTCAAGAGATTCAGTTGCCTCTTCCAGTGCCAGGATTAAAGTTGTGAGCCACCAGGAGATAAAATCAGGTTTGTGTTTCTTCAAAATCATGTCAAGGTGAACAGCTTCAAACTGTTTTCTCCAAAAAGCACTTCTGTTTGCCAGTTGTCTTTTCAGGGTTCCCTGGAGACAGGCAGCTAAATTCCTCGTCACCAGCACCATTATCACTGTGGCAGCTATCATAGTTGAGTGGAGGGCCAAGGGAAGGTGCTCTGCCCCGCCCCCCATATTGGGTCACTCATTGAACCCGGAACTCACCAATCTGTCTAGACTGGCTTGCCAATGAACCCCAGGGACCCCTGTCTTCACCTCCCAGCACTGTATTCAACCTTTTATGCCAGGGTGCTGGGGACTGAACTCTGTGGCGAGCACTTCCCTGGCCCTCTGCAACGTGTTTTAACCAGCTCTCCAGGTGGCTCTGATGTGCGCTCTGGTCTGACAATCCCTGTAAAGAACGAGCAGCTAGCTATTTATTACAAGCGCATATGGCAAGAACATGAGAGATTTAAGCCCCCTCACAGCCCAGCTTTGGGCTTTCCTTTGTTCTTCAGCAAAAAGATCACTGAAGGAGCTCTCAGAATAAGGCCTATAGCATGCTGGGATATTTCAGGAAATGAGTCTGTGGAACAAATGTTGGCAGAGGGGTTGGTGGCCCGAGTGTGTTGTCTTGCCAGGGTTGTGTGTGGAATGGCAATGAGGGGATCTGGGCTGGCAAGACACCGCCTCAGGCTGTCTCCTGCCTCCAGGAAGACACAGGATTCGTGCAAGGAAGGCTGGAGCCTTAGGAAGGGAGGTGTGACCCACCGAAGTGGGCAAGTCACGGAAATGGGCTTTTAGTTTAGCAGGATTTCTAGTAACTGCAGAGGAAATAGAAGGGTGCGGAAGACAGGTTTGCTGGTGATTTTCCCAGTACTTGGGGTGGAAACTGAGGGTTTCCATAATGTTATACCCAGATCACAGAGTCCTGTATGTAAAAGCAAAGAGCCTTTATTCTTTTTTTTTTCCCCTTTGGTTTTAGTTTTTTTTTTTTTCAGACAGGGTTTCTCTGAAGCTTTGGAGCCTATTCTGGAATTAGCTCTTGTAGACCAGGCTGACCTCGAACTCACAAAGATCCGCCTACCTCTGCCTCCCAAGTGCTGGGATTAAAGGTGTGCACCACCACCGCCCAGTTGAGCCTTTATTCTTACACAGTTTGCAAACTTGAACCTTGTGTTTGAAACACACTTATCTGTGTGTCCATTGTATTGGAGTGGTCGGAGAGCCCAGAGCTCAGCTAGGGTTGGGTTTTTGTAGTAGCCCAAAGATGGGGGTGAGGGATTTTTAAGGTTCAGGACCCCTAGTTGGCTGACAATTGTCTAGGGGTGTCCTGGTGAAAAGAGATGGGTGTGTGTTGGCAGGTGATCCTATCTACAATAGTTGGAATGTTAGGAATTTCCTTTGGATGGTCTGTTTCTGGGTGGTGCCTGGGTGGTCTCAGTTTGTGGTCTTTTTTGAAACCAGGTATTGCCTTAGGGTAAACTACTGAGACTCAGCCTCTATTGGGCTTGTTAAGGCTGGGTCCTACAACGTAACTTGGAAACAGAATTGCGTAAGGAGGACGAAGGGCCTGGTGACCCTTTCCTGTAATCCTGGTGTTAAGAAAGCTGTGGTAATAGCATGGTGAGTTCAAGATGAGCCTAGGCTACAAAGTGAAACCCCGACTCAAACAAAACCAAACAAAGGCAGAGACAGGCTGTAGTGCGAGCTGCACAGGTGAGGGGAGAGGAAAAGAAAGCCTCTGAGTCGGTGAGAGTTGGGAATAGTGCATCTTGGGCACAGAACTCCTGGAATCATCTGGTTATAAGTCAGAGCACACGTGAAAAGCATCCTTTTATTTCTCATTTCCAGAGCGCTGGGTTTTGGAGTCCATCAAGGGTTCAGAACTGCGGCTGCAATTATGGGGGCAGGAATTGTCATTGTTGTATCCCAAACACACAAAACAGCATTAGGCGCACAATAGGGTTTTTTCCCCCTTCTCTTTTTGTTTTTTCGAGACAGGGTTTCTTTGTTTAGTCCTAGCTGTCCTGGAAATCGCTCGGTATATTAGGCTGGCTTTGAACTCAAGAGATCCCCGCCTGTCTCTGCCTCCTGAGTGCTGGGAGTGCAGCCGCAGCCGCTGCCACCACCACCCGGCTTAGGTGTTTCCTCTTTTTTTTTTTTTTCTTGAGACCCGGTATCAAAAAGTAGTTCAGACCCGCCCACAACTTTTTATTTTCTTTCCAGGGCCTGCTGTGAATACTGGTGTAAGCTCCCTGGTTTAAGGGATAGTCTCAGGGGGTTCGACTCCCCTACATAGGTTAAAACGTATAACATTGCTTAAGTATACGAATGAATGATTTATATTCCAAGCCTTTCTCCATCCCTACCTGCAAAGGTTGCGTAATAATATCCGAAAGTCTAGCATTGGACCCAGAGTAGGCGCTCAACAAGTTGTGTTTTTTCTTCCCCTTGACAATAGATTGGGTCCCCAGGCAGTTCCTTTCTCTCTGGGCGTCTCCATCTCCGTTCGCCCCCGCAGCCTCAGCCTGGCCCCGGACGCGACGGGAGGGGAGAGGAGGGGGCGCGGTGGCTGTAGCGGGGAGCCGGCTCCCGGCTTACGTAAGAAGCGAGTCCCGCGCGGCCAGCCCGCCGGGCAGAGACGGCGCCGCCCAGCGGGATCCAGCTAAGTCTGGCAGCGCTCCTTTCCGCCGAGGTGTGTCTCTCTCCAGCTGCTCAGGGTGGAGGTGTCCCCCCCCTTTCCCCCGCCCGCCTAATTCAGGAGATGGCCACTCTGGGGATGCGACCGTCACCAGGATGCGGTCGGTGAGCAGCTCGCGCTCAGCCCACGTGCGGGGACCAGCAGGGGCTCCCCGGGATCACGCGCCTGGGTTGGGGTCAGGAAAGGACCCGGGTGGGTCTAACTGACCTCTGACCCCAGAGGGCCGAGCTCCCTGGGCGGGGGCCCCAGCAGCCCTGCACCGGCGTGGCCCGGGGCGAGGAGGTGGCGGAGGGCGGGGCTGAGGGGCGGGGCCGTCTTAAAAAGCCTCTCCTTCGCCCTATAGGGGTGGCCGGCAAATCCCCGCGTGCGGAGGGTACCGAGGCAGGGGCTGTCGGGCCAAGTGCGTGGGCTGCCGTCCACGCCATCCCCTCCCCTCCAAAGCCATGGCTTCCAAACTCCTGCGCGCGGTCATCCTCGGGCCGCCAGGCTCGGGTAAAGGCACCGTATGCCAGAGGATCGCCCAGAACTTTGGCCTCCAGCATCTCTCCAGCGGCCACTTCTTGCGGGAGAACCTCAAGGCTAGCACGGGTGAGGGGCTGGGGCAAGGGGGGCGAGGGTGGAGACGAGCTCGGCGGGGTGGTCGGACCGGG